AGATTGCAGCATGAATGGCTGCCCCATATGCAACAGCCTCATCTTGGTTAAGGCTTTTGCTGAGCTCCTTTCCATTAAAAATCTTGCAACATTTTTGAACCTTAGAGATGCGAGTTGACCCACCCACAATAACAAAGTCATTGATATCACTCTTTTCCATCTTGCCATCCTTCAAACACTTTTCAACAATGCCCATGCAATCCCTAAATAAATCCATATTCAATAATTCAAATCGAGCCCGGGAAATGGTAGAAGAGAAATCAGTACCCTCATAGACCTCATAGAGGCAATCTACTTCAATAGTAGTCTCTGTGGTTGATGTGAGCGTTCCCTAAACTCTCTCACATGCAGAATTCAACCTCACAAGAGCTCTAGGGTTCCCACTAATGTCCTTATTGTGCTTCCTCTTAAACTCACTCACAAAATAATTCACATTCTGTTGTCAAAATCTGTACCACCAAGGTGAGTGTTCCCACTTACAGCTTTAACTTCAAATAGACCTTTTCCCAAAAGCACCAAAGAAACATCAAAAGTCCCGCCACCAAGATCAAACACCAATACATTCCTTATAGCATGCTTTTGATTAACAGCCTTCTTCTCAAGACCGTAGGCAATGGCAGCAGCTGTTGGTTCATCTATAATACGCATGACTTGAAGTCCAGCAAGAGTAGCAGCATCTTTAGTTGCCTGACGTTGAGAATCATTGAAACACGCAGGAACAGTAACGACAGCATTCTGAACATCTGAGCCAAGATATGCCTCTGCAGTTTTTTTCATCTTCATTAAGATCATAGAGGATATCTGTTCAGGAGCAAATTGCTTTTCTTCACCCTTAAACGTGACCGCAATTGCAGGTTTACTGTCTTTATGAGGCCAGGAAAGAACCTTGAAGGGCCAGAGTTTAATATCACTCTGTACTGTTTCACCAGTGAATCTTCTGCCAATTAGCCTCTTAGCAACTGTTATCAATGAGCAAAGATGAAAGCATAAAATTCGAGGAGGTTTTGATAAATGCATGTAGATTATACTAGGGTAGTGTAATCTAGCTAAATATGTACCAGATTTTAAAGAATATCAAAGGAAACAACAAATCACTAAACCAGACAGCTAGAGTTTTTGATAATGTAAATACAAAGTGTATTATCATTCAAACAATCAGAGTTTAATTGATTAACGCCCAATTTTCTTCCATAGGGTCATTTAACACGCCTAGCATACTCAGATATGACCTGAATAGTATATACCGTGCATAGAGTAAGACTCCATAGCAAATACTTCGTATTTAACATCAATCCATTAGGCAGTGTTGTTCTCTAGACCCGAATGCATTTAAAATGAAGCTTTAATGTTATTGAATACTCCATAACAAAGGTGCATAACGTTCAAAAGACTTTGGTTGGAGACTTGAGTATAGTCTTGATAAACGGACAACCCTATCATTCGTTCTTTGTTTATGCTGCACAACATTAGTTATTATACTTCATAATGCTCATACTTCCTCCATTTCACAAAATGGTTACACTTAAATTTTAGCTATCTCCCCTGCACCCTTTTGAGTTTGCTAATATTAGTGACATTATATTAATACTTTGTAATAAAAATCAAAGTATTACAAACGAATTAAACAAGAACCCGCATAATTATTGTAAATTGGATCAACAAAACTGGCAGTAAATCATACAAAAGTAACAAAACGTTAGTATAACATGCTTGTTAAACCCTAGATCACATAAAATCGAATCATTGCAAAATTATAAACAAAAGAAAATGTATACAAATTTTAACCCCGAAATATAAAGAGAACTATATAAAAATTTTAGACCACATTTGACTTAATTTGACCATGTTGGACAAAATTTGACCTAATTCCATAAAATTAGTCCGAATTGATTAGAAAAAATAAATCAAATATGAGTCCAAAATAAACTAAATTAAACTTGCATGCACCAAAATAATTCCAAATTAGAGAATAATTTTGACAAAATTAGAGGGAGTAGAGAGAAAACCGTAAATGGTATTTGTAGAATTTGCAGCAGCCTGATTTTTGGCAACTTCACCAATAAGGCACTCAGCTCGAGCTGTCGGACCGACGGCTGAGGGTGCCACTCCGTGTAGCACCACGTCCGACACGGTGCACGCTGAGGTGTCCGTGTCGACACGCGTGTCCGACACCGACACGGGTGGACACGGTGCGATACGTGTCCGACACTTCAAAATCCGTGTCCCTTTTTTAAAAAAAAATACGTCATGGACACGGACCGTGTCTCCCTATGACACGGCCCGTTTTATTTTGGACACGCCCTTTTGTTATTCCAGCCCAACTCCCTCAGTTTCTTTTTTCTCAAACCCTACTGCTTTCAATCTTCCTCTTCACGAGTTCACTCTACCTCAACCTTCTCGAACCCAAATCGCCGCCGACTGAAGTCGCCTGACCGTCGCCCACCATCCACCGTCACAGTGTCAGTCGTCGGCTCGTCGCTCGTCGCAAGTCCTCAGTCATCACGAAACCTGGCCACTTTAATACTCTATTCCTTCAATCCTTCGTCGACTCGCCGTCAGCCCGTCACTCGTCGCTCGTCGCCGCCGTCCAGGCGTCACTCTCGCCGGTGCTCTCAGCCTTTTCACTTTCTCAGGTATTCCTCTCAATCTCTCATTCTCGTTTTAAATTTTTAATTTGATTTCATTCCTTCACGATTTGCTTAAATTGGCTAATTTCAGTAATTTGTATCATGGTTTTGTGGTTCAATTACTTCAATATTCTGTTCTAGATTAAGGGATATGTAGTGTTTTATCTTTTTGGATAACTTTATGGTTTTCGTTTTTGTTATTTGTTTACCCCTTTTGAGTTTTGACCATTTTTGGTTTAAAAACTTGCTTTCAGTTAGTCTAAACTTTTGTGCATTTTTGTGATTTTTGTGATCATTTAGTCTAAACTTTATGCTTGCCCTTCAACTGTTGCATTGGTGCATTGATATATATGCTGTGTATGTTAGTGCCCATTGTTTTGGAGAAATAATATGCATGTGGATACTGGATATATAAATGAAACAGTACTCTATATTTCTAACATTTACACTATAAACTTATACATATAACACATGTGCATTGTGTAATTTGATTGTGTTGTTTGAGCTAAACTGGAAATGTTTGATTTGCTGAAAATGTGTTGTTGTCTTGTTGAAATTGTCAGGAATGTCTTCTAGTGGTTCTAGTGCCTCTGCTTCGTGCAATGTTAGTGGTAGTAGTAATTCATCTGAGTCTAATAAGGACCCCTACCCTTTGTGGAAGTTTGTTGTTAAGGGTGATAAAATATCGGGTGGTGGAGGAAATTATAATTGGAAATGTAACTTTTGTGGTGAAGTTAAAAATGGTTCATACACTAGAGTGAAAGCTCATTTGCTATGTGAAACAGGGAAAGGGATTCAAACTTGTAATAAAGTGAATATTGATGACCTTGCTAAACTAAGAAAACTTCATCGTGAATCTGAGGATTTTAAAAAATCTTTGTTACCAAAAGTTCCACCTTTTTCAAATGAACCCATATCTTCTCACACATCAACTGAAGCTACATCAGTTAGACTAGGTTCATCTGATAATGTTAAGAAGAGGAAATCAAACAATACAATTTCTAATGCTTTTAATATGAAATCTCGTGACCAGTTGGATTCTGAAATTGCTAGATGTTTTACACAAGGGGGTTGCCTTTTAATCTTGCTAGAAACCCTTACTATGTTAGTTCATATACCATTGCTGCCAATTCTAATCTCTCTGGTTATAAGCCTCCTAGATACAACAAACTTAGAACAACTTTGCTTTGTAAAGAGAAAGAAAACGTGGATAGGTTATTGCAACTTATTAAAGCCACATGGAAAACAAAGGGTGTTAGCATTGTTAGTGATGGGTGGAGTGATCCACAAAGAAGGCCTTTGATTAACATTATGATTGCTTCCGAAACGGGTCCTATGTTTATGAAAGCTATTGATTGCTCGGGTGAGATTAAGGACAAAGATTTCATTGCTACCTTATTAAGTGAGGTGATTGATGAAATTGGAGATCAAAATGTTGTTCAAATAATCACAGATAATGCAAGTAATTGTAAGGCTGCAGGGGAATTGGTTGAGGGTAGGTATCCTCATATATATTGGACACCATGTGTTGTTCATACACTTAATCTTGCAATGAAAAGCATTTGTGCAGCTAAGAATGTGTTGAATAATGTTGAAGTGTATGATGAATTTCATTGGATAACGGAAGTTCATGCAGATGCCTTGTTCATTAAAAATTACATAATGAATCATTTCAATGAGGCTTTCAATGTTCAATAAGTTTTCTCCATTAAAACTACTTTGCATTGCCGATTCTCGTTTTGCTTCTATTGTGTGCATGCTTAAAAGGTTGAAACTCCTTAAAACATCACTTCAATCAATGGTTATTTGTGAGAATTGGTCCTTATACAAGGATGGTCGGCGCGGGCAAGCCTCACATGTAAGGGAAAAGATTTTGGATGAAATATGGTGGGACAAAGTTGATTACATTCTTGACTTCACACGCCAATCTATGATATGATTAGGGTTTGTGACACTGACAAATCTCATTGCATTTGGTTTATGAAAGATGGGATATTATGGTTCAAGGGGGTGAAAGATGCCATCTACAAGAAAGAGGGTAAACAAGATTATGAACAATCTACCTTCTTTAATGTAGTTAAAGGGATTCTTAGTAGTCGTTGGAGTAAGGGTAGTACTCCACTCCATTCATTAGCACATTCTTTTGAATCCAAGGTAAATTTTGCTTGTTTAATTTCATTTTTATTATCTTTATTTATTTTTTTCTTGTTTTTTTTTTTATTTCTTATGGCTAATCTTATTTTGTTGTTAAAGATTTTACACGAAAGAATGGCTTAATGAGGTCCCAGGACGAGTTGCTCCAAGTGCCGACAATGAAATTTCCACATAAAGATTACAATGTTTTCGAAGGCTTTTCCAAAGTCCCGATGAAAGATTCAAGATCAACACGGAATTTGCTATATTTTCCCAAAAATCGGAGGGGATCTTTCTCAACATTTATTGCATGCATGATATGGCTTTGATGGATGCTAAAAATTGGTGGGCAACTTATGGTTCTCAAGTGCCTATGCTTCAAAGTTTGGCTTATAAGCTATTAGGTCAACCTTCTTCCTCTTCTTGTAGTGAAAGGAATTGGAGCACCTATAAGTTTATTCATTCTTGTACTAGAAATAAGCTTACTCCTAAACGTGCTCAAGGACTTGGTATACATTCATAACAACCTTCGATTACTTTCTAGGAGAAGTGAAGAGTACACTAAGGGGAGATCTAAGTTGTGGGATGTGGGTGGGGATGAACATGACAACCTAGGAGAGGTTGGTATTCTAGAGATGGCCGAGCTCTCACTTGATGAACCCGAGATGGAAAGTATGATTTTTGATGATGTACTTGATGGTAAAGAATGAAACTATTAGTACTTATGTTTATTTTATTTATGATTTGTAAAACTACTTAATATTAAGACATGTATTTGGTTTTGATGGTTTCTTCCTATGTATGCGACTATGTTCGTACACTTTGTTTATTTACTTTGTTTAAACAGATTTGTGTGTTTTGAGGCTAAATTTTTTAGTGTTTTATTGAAACAGGTTGTCAAATTCTCGTTTTTTGGATATATTATATGTCTTGTTATATGCCGTACCCGTGTCCCCTATTTTTAGGATTGCCGTTTTCCCGTGTCCATATCGTGTCCGTGTCCGTATCCGTGCAACATATTAACACACTATTTTAAAGAGTTTGGTTGCACATTTAAAAAAAAAAAAATTAGGGAGTCTTAAATATATTTGAATCCATAATGCTTTATACATGGATTGTACAAGATTATAACTCATACTTTACAGTCATATACATTTTATTATACTTTGTATAGTTTAAAATCAATCAATAATCTATGTACTTCGTATAAATTAAAATTCAAGCTAAAAGTTTAATTACGAAGTGACATGTCACTCTATATCATTATCAGTATTATAATCATCAGTTTGAACATCAATGGAAACCCCTACAAAGGCTGATAATAGAAACCAGGAAAAAGAAAAAGAGATGAAAGAAAAGAGAGAAGATGAGTGGAAGAAAATCTTTATAAAAAAAACAGAAAAACTTAGCAACGAGGTTAAAAAAACATTTCCAACGGAGAAACCCTAAGGAAAACAGAAAAATACTCAAAAGGATGAAAAAAAATGTAGGTAGCTATTTATATATCCCTAATTGTTGTCCCTTTTACAACATTAGTATCATACTATCATTGGGTAAAAAGTACTTATTAATAACTATCATTGGGTAAAAAGTACATATATCATTTTTGTACACGTGTCATTATCTCATAAAAAAAATTTTATTTATAAATTATTATGGCATCATTTTTTTTTTAATTCGGTATCTTTTGTCTTTCTTATTTCAAAGGTTGGGAAGTTAATTCCTCTAAAATAATACTCGTAAATGTGAAAATACCAATAAACCGAATATTTTTATATATTTATTTTTTTTTATTTTGGGATCCCAATTTGTTGCAAAACCAAACTACTCCGTACAAAGTAAATTATAAAGTACTCCCTAGTATATTATAGGAAAAAGTTTATTTTTTTTATTCTAAATCGTGCCATCTAGTAATTTCCTACCCACATACTTCATCCTCGAGACCTTGACCATAATTATATAAACGTTGACAAAATACAATGAGAATTGGCCTGTGGTGTTTTTTTTTTAATAAAAAAAAAACGATTAATTATGATCTATCTTGCAGTATTGAGCAAAGAAGGCAGTTGAAGTAGCTATTGTCAACTTCACCTCTGAAGAAGTGAAGAATAGTCTGTTGTAAGAGAAAGGGATTATTATTTGCCACGTTCAAACATGGCGACATATCCCCCCACTTGCCCACTATTCAAAAAATAATTCAGCTATCAAAATCCTTGAAAGCGCTAAAAAAACCATGGAAATACTCAGAAATGTAGTACAAAAGCCAGAGAGCTCAAACCACGATTCACGGTTTACGAACGGACGAACCGCCGATCGACTAGACGCTTGGACGCCGGCGAACGACGACCATCCACCCCTAAATTACAAGGTTAGCTCTAACCCCAATTCCCAATTCTTAATAAAAAAAAGTCAGTTTTTTTTTTTTCATCTTTAATTTGATCCATTGGTAGAGTTGTTAACTCTTAATTGTTTATGTTTTGTTGAGTTGTTTTGATTTGGATTGTACTTGATATTTGTATGATAGGGTTATACCTAATTGAATAATTGATTCATAATTTTCAATTTAATTGGAATATCTTAAATCATTCAACTTATTCAAACAAATGCAAGCCAATATAAAAACAACCTGATTTTTGACTTTTTTTTTTTTTTTTTTTTTTTTTTTTGGTTTAAATGAGTGAAATCCCAAGGAAAGACCTCTTTCACTTAGTTTTCAAAGTCAAGAAGATGATATGGAAATAGTTGGTACAAGCAGTAGCAATGTACCACCGGAAGAGGAATAATTGATATATGATGTTGAACTTCTTTTTCGTTATCCAAGAAAAAAATTTGAAAGTCATGGCTATGATTACAAAAGCCTTAAAACTAAAATTCTTATTAACTAAGACAGAAGAGTGGTTAAAAACTGGTAGTATAACATCGGTTATATATAACTAACTAATAACATCGGTTAATCTCTCTTAATGATTTATATGGTCTTCATTCAAATTATTTTGTTGAATTCTTCATGTTGCCTAGCTAGCTTTCTTCTTATGTAATCCATCCGATCTTTTTTTGGATAGAGTTAAAAATCAATCATAAGTTTCAACCATAAGCTTAAACTTTTGATTAACATATTCATTTGACATTATCAAGAGCCAATGTAATGTTGCATGATAGAAAATCTAATCATAAGCTTCAATAATCAATTTAAACTTTTAGTTGAGTTGGTCCTTTCACATTTTTGTTCTTCCAATTTAGAATGTTTTTGTCCTTTGGCTGTGTTTGTTAACTTAGCTTTGATATATTTTTATCAAACATAGCTGCTGTAATAAGAGCATAGAACGAAAATGAGCAAGAATGGAAAAGATTTAGAGACAGCTATAGGAATCGATCTTGGACAACATACTCTTGTGCTGCAGTTTGGGAGCATAATCACGTTGAGATCATTGTTAATGACCAGGGCAACCGTACGACACCGTCTTGTGTAGCCTTCACAGAGAGCCATCGCCTCATTGGCGAGGCTGCTAAGAACCAGGCAGTACTTAATCCTACTAATACAATCTATGGTAATCTCTCTGCTACAAACTCCATTAACTCCATTTTAGCATTTTGCATGCTTTGTATTGTTTTTGTTTGACTTTGTTTGACTTTTTATTTTTTATGTTTTGGATTCACTACAAGAAAACATAGGATTACCAATGGGCTTTGAATTGTTTTTGTTTGGTATTTTTTGATGTTTTGTATTCACTATAATCTCACAGTTCAAAATTAAAGCCTAGCGCAATTATCGAGTAGAACTCATGTTGTGTACATGTATATGATGCAGATGCAAAGAGGCTTATTGGTAAGAGATTTACAGATGAAACAGTACAAAATGACATAAAACTCTGGCCATTCAAGATTATTGACTCGAACAATGACGAGAATAAACCTTTGATTGTTGTCACTTACAAGGATCAACAAAAGCAATTTGCTGCAGAAGAGATAGCTTCAATGGTTCTTTTGAAAATGAAACAGACCGCGGAAACTTATCTTGGGTCAGAAGTAAAAAATGCAGTTATCACTGTTCCTGCACACTTCAATGACTCCCAGCGTCAAGCAACCATAGATGCAGGCACCATTGCTGGGCTCAATGTCATGCGCATTATCAATGAGCCAACAGCTGCCGCCATTGCTTATGGCCTTGATAAAATGCATACTGACCGCAAAGAGGCAGCCAAGAATGTGCTAGTTTTCGATCTTGGTGGGGGAACTTTTGATGTTTCATTGGTCCGTATTAATTATGGTATATTTGAAGTGAAAGGAGTAACTGGGAATACCCACCTTGGTGGAAGTGATTTCAACAATAAAATGATGAGCCACTTTGTTGCTGAGTTTAAGAGGAAACACAAAAGGGACATTAGCGAAAATTCTAAGGCACTTGGGAAGCTGAGAGATTCTTGTGAAAAAGCAAAAAGGATGCTCTCTTCAATTTCTGAGGCAACTATTTCTATCGATTCTCTCTACGACGGTATTGATTTTCACTCAACCATTTCCCGCTCCAAATTTGAAAGATTGAATAATGCTTTCTTCACAAGCTGTAT